TACAAACTGACACATGTAGTCACAACTTTGTATGATTTCTAACACACAAACCTACACATGTAGTCACAGCTTTGTTAGATACCTAACACACAAATCTACACATGTGGTCACAGCTTTGATAGATATCTAACACACAAACCTGCACCTGTAGTCACACATTTGTTAGATATCTAACACACAAACTGACACATGAAGTCACACCTTTGTTAGATTTCTAATACACAAACTGACACATGTAGTCACACCTTTGTTATATATCTAACATACAAACTGACACATTAGGTCACATCTTCGATATATATCTAACATACAAACTGACACATTAGGTCACATCTTTGTTAGATATCTTACACATAAACTGACAACTGTTCTGTGTAATATTCCATAGTGGTCAATACATGTCTTTTTAGAGTTTTACGGTATTTTATGTCGGTCGACTTTGAACTCGGATAAAAGTTGGGTGTTGTCCATTTCCATGTTTTAACTTGTTTATACTTGCTATAATTTTACAGTTGATAGTGTTGAAGGAGGCGAGTGCTGTAAAGCCCATTATGGACGTTTCTCAAATGATGAAATGTGGTGTGGGGATTACTGCTGTAGTGCTGGCGTTGGATACTACTGTTGTGACAACATACTATTCCAGGTGGACAGCTTGGAACGGGATGACCTATGTAGCGATTACTTCTCAGAAAATGTGTGAGTTTAATTTTCTTACTTTTCGTTTTTTTTTTTTTTTTGCTTTTTGATCAATTGTAATTGTTTTTAAGATTAAACTTAGAATGTTAAAAGCGAGGTGCAAATTAATGCTTGTGGTCGAAAAAGAAAAAAAAACCTTTCGATTCCTCTCATTTTATTTCGTCTATGTGCAATTGTTCCTGGACGGCAATGCGCAATGTTTATATTGTTACTTGGATACGAAAGTGTTTTGTTATTTGGATACGAATGTTAAAGGACTATGACATTTTCGTTACATGATATTGTTATGTCCATTAAACAGTATATCTATTTTATTGGCTGCTGGTTATATAATTATTGTTAAATGGACATTTTCAGAAATTATTTCAAAAAAGTTTTAATAGTACGACGCCATCTTTTGGAAATAATATTCGAAAACATATATTTTTTAAAACTAATGCTAGTTTTGAAAATAAATATAACCAGAACCACATTTGACTCTAAAATGTTTGATTTTCTGCTTATATTGATCGCTGATCCCCAATATGTGTACATATATCTGGATATCTGTCTGAATACAGTTACATCTGTTCAAGACCTTTGTAACCCTAATCATATTTCGCGTTCTGTTTATAGAACCAAGTCCCAGCAATAAAAGAAAAAACAAGTAGAGGATAAACATTAATGAAGAATTAACAAGCATTTTTATAATTTAAGTTATGGTATAAAATGCATCAATATTTACCAGAAAAATGTCCCGTATTTGGTTCAATGACGTTAGTGTTCTAAAACTGCGGTTTCCATTCTAGCTGTGTGTATCCTAAAATCTCTTAATTTCAATGTAATGTTATTAAATTATGTTTTGAAGATTGTGTTCAGGTAATAAAGATAAAATAAATATGTTAGTCATCAATGCTTATCATGGAGACCTGCGCGCCCATCTACGAAGATATGGGTAGTCTGGTTTCTGAAAGCCGCTTTATACCCGTGTTTAAAAAAAGGAAAACTGAAAGCAGTGTACGGCTATCAAGAACCAGTTCGGTAGACCACTTTGAGAAACCGAAACTAAGTAGTTTATTGGAAATAGATACGCGAGGCCTACCAGGATATTTCACGATTTAAAAAAAAATCATTTGAGATATATGAAATGAGTGTTACATAGTAAAACACAAAAGGAATCTCTTGCGACATAGAGTACAAAATCATGACAAGTTTCATAATACTCAAATAACTTACATTCCCACCTGTTTCAACAGTAGATTAGACCAATTTGGATTGGCTATGGTGCAGTATATTTTGGCATAATATATCTATAACGACTTTGTATGGGTACAATCCCCGTGCTTCTCTTGCGTTTATCTTTTAATTGGAACGAATGTTTTTGTTTTTCACATAACCGTGAATAACCATGTATAACCGTGTATAACCATGTACAACCGTGTATAACCGTGTATAACCATGTTAAACCGTGTATAACGGTGTATAGCCGTGTATAACCGTGTATAACCATGTATAACCATGTATAACCGTGTATAACCATGTATAGCCGTGTATAATCGTGTATAACCATGTAAAACCGTGTATAACCGTGTATAACCGTGAATAACCATGTATAACCGTGTATAACCGTGTATAATCGTGTATAACCGTGTTTAACCGTGTATAACCGTGAATAACCATGTATAACCGTGTATAACCGTGTATAACCGTGAATAACCATGTATAACCATGAATAACCGTGTATAACCGTGTATAACCGTGAATAACTGTGTATAGTCGTGTATAACCATGTAAAACCGTGTATAACCGTTTATAACCGTGTATAACCGTGTATAGCCGTGTGTAACCGTGTATAACCGTGTATAACCATGTATAACCGTGTAAAACCATGTATAACCGTATATAATCGTGTATAACCGTGTATAGTCGTGTATAACCATGTAAAACCGTGTATAACCGTTTATAACCGTGTATAACCGTGTATAGCCGTGTGTAACCGTGTATAACCGTGTATAACCATGTATAACCGTGTAAAACCATGTATAACCGTATATAATCGTGTATAACCGTGTATAGTCGTGTATAACCATGTAAAACCGTGTATAACCGTTTATAACCGTGTATAACCGTGTATAGCCGTGTGTAACCGTGTATAACCGTGTATAACCATGTATAACCGTGTAAAACCATGTATAACCGTATATAATCGTGTATAACCGTGTATAGTCGTGTATAACCATGTAAAACCGTGTATAACCGTTTATAACCGTGTATAACCGTGTATAGCCGTGTGTAACCGTGTATAACCGTGTATAACCATGTATAACCGTGTAAAACCATGTATAACCGTATATAATCGTGTATAACCGTGTATAGTCGTGTATAACCATGTAAAACCGTGTATAACCGTTTATAACCGTGTATAACCGTGTATAGCCGTGTGTAACCGTGTATAACCGTGTATAACCATGTATAACCGTGTAAAACCATGTATAACCGTGTATAACCATGTATAACCATGTCAAACCGTGTATAACCGTGTATAACCATGTATAACCGTGTATAACCGTGTATAGCCGTGTGTAACCGTGTATAACCGTGTATAACCATGTTAGTTTGATTTTAAATGTTCGTTAAAATCATTTTATCATGCTGACTTTGAAAATACAAAATATTGTCATTATGATTGCAATCCTTTATATGTTGAAGGTGTGTGATATTATCCTTGTGGTAACGTCACAATAAAATTAGTAAAAACAAGTTTTTAAACGTGTTTTCATGACCCTGTTTATTAACGGGTTTTATTAAACTTAAAACAGGAAAGTGATGACGCGAGGCCTACCAGGATATTTCACGATTTAAAAAAAAATCATTTGAGATATATGAAATGAGTGTTATATAATAAAAAACAAAAGGAATCTCTTGCGACCTAAAGTACAAAATCATGACAAGTTTCATAATACTCAAATAACTTACATTCCCACCTGTTTCAACAGTAGATTAGACCAATTTGGATTGGCTATGGTGCAGTATATTTTGGCATAATATATCTATAACGACTTTGTATGGGTACAATCCCCGTGCTTCTCTTGCGTTTATCTTTTAATTGGAACGAATGTTTTTGTTTTTCACATAACCGTGAATAACCATGTATAACCGTGTATAACCATGTACAACCGTGTATAACCGTGTATAACCGTGTATAACCGTGTATAACCGTGTATAACCGTGTATAACCATGTGTAACCGTGTATAACCGTGTATAACCATGTGTAACCGTGTATAACCATGTATAACCGTGTATAACCATGTATAACCGTGTATAACCATGTATAACCGTGTATAACCATGTATAACCGTGTATAACCATGTATAACCGTGTATAACCATGTATAACCGTGTATAACCATGTATAACCGTGTATAACCATGTATAACCGTGTATAACCATGTATAACCGTGTATAACCGTGTATAACCGTGTATAACCGTGTATAACCATGTATAACCGTGTATAACCGTGTATCACCGTGTATAACCGTGTATAACCATGTATAACCGTGTATAACCGTGTATAACCGTGTATAACCATGAATAACCGTGTATAGCCGTGTATAACCATGCAAGTTTGATTGTAAATGATCGTTAAAATCATTTTATCATGCTGACTTTGAAAATACAAAATATTGACATTATGATTGTAATCCTTTATATGTTGAAGGTGTGTGATATTATCCTTGTGGTAACGTCACAATAAAATTAGTAAAAACAAGTGTTTAAACGTGTTTTCATGACCCTGTTTATTAACGGGTTTTATTAAACGTATAACAGGGAAGTGATGACGCGAGGCCTACCAGGATATTTCACGATTTAAAAAAAAAATCATTTGAGATATATGAAATGAGTGTTACATTGTAAAACACCAAAGGAATCTCTTGCGACCTAAAGTAATGCATTATAATGAAAAAAAAAAATGAAAAAAAAATCAAATGATAATGATGTTGTTCCATGATATAAGATACTGTTTACTTTATATACAGTGATATAATTACATTGTATGAAGGAAAGTGATGTCAACATATTGTATTGTTATGCTAAAGAAATATTAAAATATCTAAAATTGAAAATGATTTTTTTTGCAATCTTTCATTAAAAAAAATCTTTAATTAAATATATTCTTATTTCCAAACTGTATTTAAGGTACCTCAACGAAATGAATGTAAGAGATTTATTTTAATGAAACCTTTAAAATATACGTTTGATATACATTGTATATAAACGAAATCTGGCTAAAACGTGAAATGAACACATAACTGATAGCATCTACTTCGACAGTTGTTCGATATGATTATTGCATTCAATATAGTAGTATAATAACGAATTATTTCTAAAAACATTGACCAGTGAAAGGAGTAAGGCGACTCAGGGGACGAAGCTGTCTCTTCATCATTTCATTTCATTTTGTCAATTCTGACGTCTAATTATTACACCAACGACCGCCTACACTCTTCTATATTCATATTGATTTCAACTTCGAACACCTCTTTAAGAATAACTCATCTCTAGTTTTAAAATTCTTACTGTCTACTTGTACTTATACCGTGGATGATACGAGTTTTAACGGGCTTTGCTATTTTGGACGATTCGTCCACTTCCCGGGTTTCATCTGTAGTGAAAATACTTGCACTAATTTGCGAAAAACTCGCAGTTATTTTCTTATGTTTTAATTATATATCTCGTAATGTATAGTAAGTCTTGACTATCTCGAAAAAGGAGTGGACTGCTCCGAAAAGTTACTTGATTTTGACTTCACTGTCGACATCATTAAGTGTTATAGTATATATATTGTAATTCCTGTAGTTTGGTACATATTTTAATTCATATGTTATGAAATTCCATATAAACGATACAATAAGTAACTAAAACAGAGATATCATTAAATGAGAAACAGATTGCTTACCTGAATCTTTCACATTAGAAAGTCGTATACCAGTGTGTTTCACACTTAAGTGACCTATAATAG